GCCCGCTCTGTACACAACAAAATGAAAGAGATACTATTGTTATCTCTGATTTGTGATTCGTCCATGATAATGATTAGAAAAGCATGGTGTACCTCTGATATTTGTGACGCAGAGATCTCCGACAACTATTCCTTCAGGAAGAACAGACTACATAGTAAAGGAGGAGGGTGCATTATCTATATAAAGTCCGTCACCACTGTTACGCAGTGCTCAACCTCTAAGCGAAACGAGATTGACGACTCAGCATGGGTCATCGCCGAACTTACTCCATATCTCTCCTAATAGGATGCATTTACCTACCCCTTGCTCCTCAGTCCAATACGGCGAGAAGCTAACAAGCGTGTTCTCTCATGTGGCAACACTACCACACACCGCGTGGTGACTTTAACATGCCAGATATAACGTGCCAACCAATCAGCTATCCGAAGCTCTTTGATAAATTTATAGGACTTCTTGAAACAAAGGGTTAGAAACAACATATGGGACACCCTACCAGATACAGCAGTGTCCTGGGCCTGGTCTTCACAAACGGGACCACACCCACAAGACTCCAAGTAAACAATTTCCAGGTAGTGATCACAAGGTAGTATATGGATACTTCAACATACCTAGCACAAAATTAGCCTGAAAGACAAGAACAGTTCTGACTAGAAACTACAAGTATGCTAGGCGGGACGAACTACAATTGTTTCTACGTTGCCTAGATTGGAACCCCTACTTTACCAACCGTTCAGCCAAAGAACTCTGTGATCTATTTTATAAATATATAGACATAGCTCAAGACTATATTGCTTCACCGCTCCAACGAGAAATTAAGAACAATAGAGTTGACTTTATACCTACGGAAGTACGCAACCGCATGCGTAACTATGCCAGAGAGTAAGTTAAATTACTTTTCATCGCTTGTCACGCTCAAAAACACGTATGACACAAGGTAAAATGGACACTAGAAGCCGTTAAACAAGAACGCGTTCAATGTAGTAAAACTAATAATACAGAAGCACTAGTGAGACTGGTGTAAACCCGGACAAGCAGCTCCAGAAATAATGCTCCTAGTTTACTCATAGACAACGGAATACTAGAGGACGATCTGCTGCAAATCTGCAAGTTGTTCAGTTATTGGTTTGCTAGCTGCCTTACATGAGGACAAAACAAAAATCATTGGCACGCCGTCATCATCAACTCACTCGATAAATACTATGCTCTTCCCTCAACAAAACATTTCTTTAGCTATAGCATCGCTTGGAACTTCATAGAGCTGGACCTGATGGAATTCCAACCATCTTGCTGAAAAGAGGTGGCGAAGATATACCACTAATTCTCTTGAAGCTCTTTAATATGCCCCTCTCCAGTGGCAATTACTGGAAACTGTCATACATACATCCCAAGCATTAATGTGGACCAACATCTAATATAGAAAACTACAGACCTATAAACATCACGACAGTAGTATCTAGGACTATGGAAAAGGTGACTGTGAAAGAAGTTGTCGACTACATGACGACAAATTAATTACTCTCACCAGCACAACATGGATTCTTGAGATTCCGGTCATGTGCTACGAGCTATCTTGACTGTCTAGACGATGTTACAAGCAAGCGTGACCAAGGTCCACTTGTAACTACCCTTTTCTCAGACTTCAAGCAAGCATTCTATAAGGTGCCTCAAACGCCTGGTTACTAAGTTGCAATCATACGGTTTCCAAGACCCGTTACTGTCCTGGCTTAGAACATCTTTAGAGGGTCGCTTTCAAGTAGTAAAATTCAGTAATTGCTACTCCTCCGCAAGACTACAAAGTGGGTAGTTTGCTAGGAGCGTTACTTTTCCTAATCTGTGTAAACGATATCTGAAGCGTTATCCGAAATGGCATACCTTACCTTTCCGCAGACGACTTGAAGATGGTCTACAGCTTTTCTCCTGCAGCACTAGCACAAGGTTTCTCTCAAATACAAGAAGATCTGAAGAGAATATTCACATGGAGCATGAGCTGGCAGCTCCCTTTAAACCTAAATAAAAGTGGCATCCTCCATTTCAATAAATTTCACTCAGATGTAACACTACATTTGGGTGACATCGCACTGCAGATATACAACACTGAAAGGCCTCGGAGTCACTTACTCCAGGAGTTTGACTTTCACGGAGCATGCAGATTCAATAGTTTCCAAAGGCAGAAGACTCATAGGTCTTCTACACAGAAACGTACTCACACCTGAGATAAAACTTATACTATACAAAGTTATGGTTCACCCAATATTAGAGTGTTGCACAGTTATCTATGGTAACATGAAAGTATCTGATAGAATTCGATTAGAGAACATCCAACGAAACTTTACTGGGCGCCTACTAAAACATAACGAATGACTTCCTTACGAAGCAAGGTGCAAAAACCTAGAACGAGAATCATTCTGACTGAGACGCCTAAAGCTCAACCTAACCTTTCTTCTTCGTCTTTTATTTGGAAAATCTAAAACGAACTGTGTTATTACTTTTAAATTAACGCCGTCATATAGCCTGCGTAATAGCGAACACACCATTTCAATAAATAAGTCGCTCAAAACTTCGATGTAGGTTCTTCATAACGCAATACAGTATGCTGAGGAACAAACTTCCCGCTCCTATACAAGCATGTCGATCTCTCGGCCAGCTTCCACGATTACTTAGTGAATTTCTCCTACATAACGATTCTCACCAATTCGTTAACGGCCAAATCGCAAATGGTAATACCATGTACAATGGTGTTACTGGTATCTAGACTCAAGAGAGATTAACAGAGATGACAAAAGTATACAATGCCGAAAACTAAGCGTATGGGTTAAGATAAAATCTAATTTAAGGAAAGCTGATCTAGAGTGGACAGGTGGCGGAGTGTGATACGATTTGCAACAGTGAACTTTGTAGCTACTCTGATGTAACCTGCATTTCTTCGTAATCTAACTGATCTCTCGACTTAACACCTATTTCTTAAAATTTTTCCCCTCAAAATAATCTCTTTATCCTTGACTGATGAATGAACTGTTTGTCGGTGGATCTTTTCAGCATGTAACATGTCTTATTACTTGCCCTTTGTTTTCAGTACTTACATGTAAGTAGTCTGCACCACCATATTGTCTCTATTAGCCCTGATATGGTAACACTCAAGAGTCAACACCATGATCATCCCTCCCCCATGACTATATAAAGCGTGGTTACCATCTTAGCAAAACCATGAGTTTTATTTAAATGTTTATAACTTCATTAAACTTTTGTCCATAGGTTTTCTACACATAAGCGAATACCTGGTCCAAAATCCTCTAATCTCTCCATTCCATAGTGATGTCTTCGGTTTCGGAATAATCTCCACTACTTTCGTACGCACCTTCATCTTCTTCCCCACAAACTTACCTCTAAACAGTTGGTTTTGGATACTTCTTCAAGTAACTTTTGCGGTCAGTACAAAGAACTCACCTATATCTATCATGGTTGATATACTTCTGAGTAGTGTTTTTTTGCTCCTGTTTCGAATTTCGCCTGCCACTCGCTTTTGTTACTCGTTTTTCAGGTTTACCTGACCAGTCCTTCATCAATATGGGATCTAAATCCTTCGGTACGTGATCTACATTTGTCTTCAAACGCGCTTCACCATCCAAATGCCGCTAATCTACCTTTCGTAAGACAGTGTATAATTTGGAGACTAAGTCATTTGACAGTGTATATTCATCAAGTCACACAATCCGGTGACTTAAAGCAGCAGTCAGCACCTTAATCTCAAAGTTTAAAGTCGACAAATGTCCAACCGTTAATAGTGGGCACTTAAAAGCGCCAAAGATAAAATTACTTTCGCCTGACGCACTTTCAAATTGATGAGGTAACTTCATAACTGACCTCGTACACAGATGATGCCTGACGCGTACCATAAGAATTTTCAAACGGTTTTAAATTAAGACCCCAATTATGCATAAGAAAAGAAAAGCAATGTTGACAAACAACTGATTTTCAAATGATTTACACTGTTGTAAGTAACCACACGTGTTACCATTAAGTGAACAATCAATAGTAACTTCAGGATTCAAGAAAAGGATAACATTTCGGATGATATCGTGAAAATAGTCATTGAATTGTAACATATAAACTAGCGCTTCCAAACTTTTTTACCATTGCGTGTTTTATTTGAAAACGCTGGTCATTTCAGAAGAAAAGGTACTGTCGTTAAGTTTGTAGTGCATCGTTCCAGCACCTGAATACTATCAGGTTTGAAATAAATAAGCATTTAAAATAACTAAATTTTAACTGAGCAATCTACCAAGGCATCAACGTTTCACTTCAGTCTTATGAGCTTTGTTTTAGAGTGTAGATATCCATCCCTAGACAGTCTCCATTCTGCATCTTCTGTGCGCTGATCAGCAGTCAAATACTCAGAGTTCATAGTTCAACCACTTGCAGGCAGACGATTCATAACGGGTTTCCGTAAGATAGCCTTCCTACCACAGACCAATAAATAAACTGCTCTTCTGTGCGTCGTTATCATTTAACGTGTTTTCTTATTGGTTTCTTGTTGTGACTACATGCACTTGGGCAAGATACTTTAAAATTTGGTATGAGTACACGTTAATTTAGGCAAGAACGTTCACATGTTAGGTAAAAGCAAAACAACGACTCCCATAGAAGTCAACGTGTACTAACTTTTCATCTCAGATTTGAGAGATTCGTGACATATTCTAACTAAACTGTATTCTTCACATCGCTTACTTTTTCGTTTCAAAAATAACCGCCTGTTTAATATTAGATATTGGTTCCTGTATATAATATTTAGCTGCAGATGGGGCTATGAAATGCGATGAGGATCCACACAAAAAATTCCAAGCCGAAAGACAATCACGGTCGCAACCCACCTAATCATACAACGCATCCTCAGCAATCGATTCTACATTAAAGATTCTGTAAAACGACTTCTCACTGCGAAATCAGCTACACGTTTTTTTCATCATATGTAGTTGAAGTAAAGGAGTCAGACCATCAACTTTATAATGATAATAATAATAATATATTTCATCAAACCTAAGTTACATGAATACAAACCAGTTTACAGGTTTGATCATTCTGGTAATGAGAAATGACTGTTATGTACAATGTTAAGCAGCCCGATGACATTGAAAGAAACACTAGCAAATTATTAAAGAAAACTATTTCCATAAAAGCAGCATTCTTTACAAATACGTGTAGTAGTATAAATGTCTAACATTAAGGTTAGGTTCAAACGTCTATTGAAATGCAATAGAATAGTCATCAGGTTTCATCATACTGCTCCTCGAAGACAGGCTTCATATCCTTGCGTTGTATTAAAGCCCGGGACTACCTATTCAATTATTAATAAAACAGGATTTATAACAACAATAGTAATTTATTTCGAATAAATAATTGTACGAACACAAGTCATTTTTACAGGCAATGTCTGGATGTTACTGTTTTCAGTGAAGCTGAGAAAATTCAGAAACGAATCGTCACACCATTTAGTCTCATAGAGTAGACAATTGTTTGTATACTACTCCTCACATACGTTTGCACTCGCCGTGTTATGTTACATTTACAACGACTGATTGTTCTTCGGAAACGTTATCCTCATCTTGACGGCAGTCTCACTTGCCATGAAGATGTTGACGTCAGCAACAAATTTCTAATATGTTAACATAGTTACCTCAAGAAGGATAACATTTACTATGGCAAAATGAATCTTCATATTAGTACTGGGACAGAAAACACGGGAGTCAACAAGGAAAAAACTTACAAAGTTAATGTACAGTGTTTCGAAAAATGACTTCCCAGTGCTTATTAGCAGTTATATATTGAAAAAAAATTGTTACTTAAACCGAATACCTGTCTAACTAACATACACAACATTTCCTACTTAAGCACAACGTTTAAATTCAAAAAATGACATTTAGAGTATAAGCAGTTCATTTCACTTTTTTACCACAGCAAAGCACATCTATCAACGAAAACTAGTCATATGCAAGGAAAAACCAGAAAAGATTCGTTTTGACAACTCTCCAAGCTATTTCTACTTTTATGACATCAGCTGGGCGAAAAATCACCTATGACCTACGGCCCCCTACACCCGGCCAAGTTTTTTATTCCAGTAATTTAAATGTTGCTGTATTCATCAGATATATCCAAAAGCTAATTCCAAGATGCACATTAAATATTCAGTTTTTAATCAGTAGAGAAATACGTCGACAGAAATGTGGAATAGCAATGAGGTCTCCATGTGGAATCCTACTTGCCAACCTTTTTATTGTTTGTTGAGAGTCAAATGTCTTGCAGTCAATAATGTATAAGTCCAAGGTGCGTAGACCATATCCAGGTGATATTTTTTTTATCAGCACTGAAACAACTGAGTTCAGTAAGATTTTAAAGACCCTCGGTCATGCTCATCCATCGATTAAGTCTGCGCCTGAAGTCGACTAGATATGTAAACCTGCCCTTCTAGAAGTTCACCTCCAACGATGCATGACTTCAAAGCTCGATTAACCATAAATCAAAATGGAGCAAGCAACTGACGAGTGTTCAACATATTGTCTATATGAACGGAAAAAGGAATGTGATCACCTGTCTCACTATATGAATTTACTGCATTTGCACAGAAGATACAATGGATAAGGAATTGGGATCCTTTAAAAATACTCTGATTTAGAATATCTACCAAACTTCACTTACTTGTTAAATACATGAAAAAGAAGCTTCATGTTCAATACAGATTAATGGTACCGAAAAAATACTTGTATATGTTTCCGAATTTCTAAGGAGAAACAGTCAGTCGAGCTCTACAAATTCGCCTGTAGAAAGCAGTTCAAAGAACATTCTTTTCTACATCCCTGGGTCTAAGTTTCACCACACAAGCTCTCGTTCGCTGAGATGTAAAAGATGAGGTAACGTTATAACTGAAATATATTTGTAAAATCCCAATGAAGTGGAAAAATAAATTTCTGACGTTTCGTGACTTTGTGGAAATCTCTTCTTCAGAGAATAAAACTTTAACAAATTATCAGTAGTTTAAGCAGTAAGAGGTGACGAATCAGATCACATTATCTATAAATAATAATAATTTGAACATAAATGTCATTATCATTTGACTACCTAAGATAACCGTAGTTTGGCAGACTAGTATTTATACTGGGTGGTGATTGAAGGTGAGATGAAAATCTGGACTGCGGTCGGATTCAAACCAGCGACCACCAGGTTTTAAAATCTGGACCGCTTCCGTCACCTGGTGGTCGCTGGTTGGAATCCAACTGCGGTTCAGATTTTCACCTCACCTCTAATCATCACCCAGTATAAATGTCATTGTTATGCTGGTCGGGAAGGGTTCACAATTTATCTTTGTTATCTATTAATTAATCTGGAGTTTAAGGTGATGTGAATCTGTGCACATGTGACTGGGTGTGAAAGTGTAAGGAAAATAATATGGATGAAACAATCGTAATTACTAAGGTAGATAAGGGAAATGTAACAGTGACTATGATCAAAACTGTCTACGACCGTAAAGCAGGTGAACATCTTTCAATCTGTCCCTATGAAGAAATTGAATAAAAAAAAGGGCCAAGCAACAAAGAACAAGATGACAACAGAAACAGGTAAGCTTTTAAAGGAACTGAAACCGTTCGTCGGAGACTATTATGGTTCTCCCTATATCCAAAACCATGCACTTCATCACGTTTCTATGGATTACCGAAAATTCATAAACCCGATGTCCCTCTGAGACTGATAGTAGATTTTACAAATTATCAAACATGTGCTTTATCTAAATATTTAGCATCTCTACTAAAGCCTCTCCAACGCTCTGTTATTAGCTCACTTAGAGACTCATATGAATTCACTTCAAGAATATAGGAATTATCTATTGCAGAGAATGAAACAATGGTAAATTATGATGCTGTTTCACTGTATACTAGTATTCCCATTGAAAAATGTCTAGAGTTCATAAGTGGATTGCTAGAATGTGATCATACACTGGGAGATAGATCTCCGTTGAACCTCAGCCTCATCATGAAAGTACTCAACATTTGTTTAAACATAACAATCTTCAAGTTTAGAGGAAAACTATATCAACAAACAAATGGAGTAGCTGTGGGTTCTGCGGTATCCCCTATCGCTGCAAACCTATTCATGTCCCATAATGAATCAATTATCTTTTCCAACACCATCAAACCACGTACTTGGCTCAAATACGTAGATGATACATCCATAATTTTAAAAAGGTCTGGCCTCAGAACCTTTTCGAAATTAATTAACACTTATTCTCCACATATTAAGTTCACATGTGAACATGAAAATACAAGCAGTGAACTACCATTCCTAAACTGTTTACTTAAAAGGAATGGAAACGAAAGTCTAAGTTTATCGATTTATCTTGATTTCAACTCAGCATATCCACTCAGTGCTAAACTTTCACTTGCTCGGAGCTTATTCAGGAGAGCCAAAAAGCTCATCACGAATGAAGGTGACAGGCTAACGGAAGTAAGCAATGTATTGGATGTATTACATGTCAGTATCTACCCTAATAATGTCATTCAAAAGATCGAGAAACATGAGCAGAGGTCCTCAAGAGGAAATTCAAATGATGATTCTTGGATTGGCAAAGTAGTCCTACCATTCCGCCAAGGCACAACCGAACAGCTACAAAGAATCTTGAGAAATCACCAAATTGAGACCTTTTACAAGGCAACCAACACTCAGGAATGCTCTAGTCCACTTAAAAGATAAAGTTCCTTTTAGCTCCACACAAAATTGTGTCTTCAAATTAGACTGTGTCGACTGTGACGCCTATTATATTGGAGAATCATCCCATTGGATCCTCATTAGGGCTAAAGAACATGCAAGTTACACAAAACGACCACCGAATAATCCTGCAGAACTAGAGAATTTACAAGTCAAGTCCGCGATCGCAGTTCATGCAATCTATCACAGTGACAAAACGATACTGAAAATATTAAAATTATTAAAAAAGGATTTTCAAACTATGAATAAAGAAGAATGGCAAAGGCATTTTACATTATGTTGAATCCTAATACACTCAACAGAAAGGAAAGCTTAACTATCCAACCAACCTGGACAGTATTTCCAAAAACAACACACCACACTCTATGATCTGATCAAAAGTATATACACATAAACAAACCAAATTTCTGGTCCATATTATTTATTTTTCTTACACTTTCACACCCGGTCACATGTCCACAGATTCACATCACCTTAAACTCCAGACTAATTAACAGATAGATCGTGCCACGATCCACCATTAACATAATTTGAAGGCAGGCAATATCGAGGCATCCGCACAGGAGCCCATATACCAACAGAGACCGATCAATTCGGTCCAATCAACGACGGTGTGATATAAGAACGATTATACTAATTAACAGATATTAAAGATAAATTGTGAACCCTTCCCGACCAGCATAACAATGACATTTATGTTCATATTATTATTATTTATAGACAATGTGATCTGATTCGTCACCTCTTACTGCTTAAACTACCGATAATTTGTTAGAGTTTTATTCTCTGAAGAAGAGATTTCCACAAAGTCACGAAACGTCAGAAATTTATTTTTCCACTTCATTGGGATTTTACAAATATATTTTATATATAATCCATTTACCCAATGCTCAACTTATTCGACTCTATCAGGTCAAGTTTTGATCATGAAGTATACAATAAGGTAATGTTGTTAACAACATCCATGTGTATATAAATATACTTGCTGCTGTGATACATGAGGTGAGACCAAGTCGATCGGTGGGTCTCGATCAAGTCTTATCTGCACAGCAGAAGCAGTGGCTATTGACAAAGAGAACTCTAGACTTGAAGTACATAAGCTTTTTGCCCAGCCTAGTTTACTATCACGGCCTGAGTTTCACAACTCTTTTATTCGCTGTTAATCATCCAATGCATTTCTTCTGTTACAGCCTGACTTTATTGACTGAAATCCTTCTCACTTTTTTTTGTGTGTAATATTTCTGTTCCTAGTACCCCATTTCAGCAAATAGGCCAAGCATCTACGAGCTCTATTCATTATTTTGTGTCTGCATATTTTTTAAAACTTAAGACTGACTTGATATCTCCTAAATTATTCTGTTTTCATCTTCCGATTTACAGTTTACTACGCTATGTTAATAAACGACATCAACCTTTGACCGTTGTCGCTACTTTTAAAGATGTATTTAAGCTACTACATAACTGTACAGCGATGATGAGCAGCTAAGAATGGAGTTTACTTTGCTGACCAATATTTTTCTAATATCACTTTATTCTCTCTATTTCATGTAATCAACTTTTTTCATTTATCAGATCCAGTCA